AAATTATTTTTTCATGTCTTACACTGACCAATGTCTCTCTTCACCCACTTTCCTGTTGTCCGTATATGTAGTCATTGTGATCAGTTCTCCCTTTCTCCCCCCATCTTCCCCTTCCCCTCCTGTTATTGCTACACTCATTATTGGTCCTGAGGGGTATATCTGTCCTGGACTTCTGTTTCCAGCTCTTATCTGTACATGCTCTAGTCTAGCTGGATTTGTAAGGTAGAATTGGGGTCATAATAGTGCGGGCCCGGTTGGGGGTGCATTAAAGAACTAAAGTTGGATGTTTCATCAGTGCTATACTGCACCCTGACTGGTTTGCCTCTTCCTTGTGACCCTTCTGTAAGGGGATGGCCAATTGTCTACATATGAGCTTTGGGTCTCCACTCTGCATTCCCCCTCATTCACAATGATATGATTTTTTGTTCTGGGTCTTTGATGCCTGATACCTGATCCTACTGACACCTCATGATCACACAGGCTGGTTGCTTCTTCCATGTGGACTTTGTTGCTTCTCAGCTAGATGGCCACTTGTTTATTTTCAGGCCTTTAAGACCCCAGACACTATATCTTTTGATAGCCAGGCACCATCAGCTTTCTTCACATTTGCTTGTGCACCCATTTTGTCTTTAGCGATCATATCAGGAGGATAAGCATCATGGAATGCCAGGTTAGAGAACAAAGTGTTATTGCATTGAGGGAGTACTTGAGTAGAGGCCCAATTCTGTCTGTTACCTTAATACTTAACATATAAATATATGAACATAGATCTATTTCCCTATCGTTATATATAAATATATTTACATATGTACATGCCTGTATTTAGACCTCTATAAATGCCCTTTACCTCCTAGTTCTTTCCTCTAGTTCCTATTACTTTCCTCTTGTCCCACTATCGTGTTCGGCCATCATTTGGGTTTCAGTAATTCCTCTCGGTTACATTGCCCTTGGTCAAGCCCCACCAGGCATTTTATGCCCTCCTTGCCATTGATTTTAGAAACTTGTTGTTCCCTTGTCCCTGGTTTTGTTAACACCCACTTCCTTTCCTCCACCTAGTACTGGGGGCTCTTACAGCTCTTATATCAATATATACATCAATTGTATCAAACACATTTGTACATATGTTGCCATCATCATTTTCAAAACATTTTATTTCTACTTGAGTCCTTGGTATCAGCTCCTCTTTTATCCCTCCCAGCCCTTCCCTCTCATTCTTGTGAACCCTTGATAAATTATTATTATTTTCATATCTTACACAGTTTGTTGTCTCCCTTCACCTACATTTCTGTTGTTCATTGACCATTGCAATCAATGATCAGTTCCCCATTTTGGCCCCTTTCCCCTACCGTCATGGTATCCCTACTCCTGTTATTGTTTCTGAGGGACTTATCTGTCCTGGATTCCATGTGTTGAGAGCTCTTATCTGTACCAGTGCACATGCTCTGATCTAGCTGGGTTTGTAAGGTAGAACTGGAATCATAATAGTGGGGGTGGGGGGCTGGCGAGAGGAAGCCACACAAAGTACATACTAGAGATTCTTGTCTGAAGTTACAAGATTTTATAGGAATTTTGCATCCATAAGCAAAGTCAAATCAGGCCAGGCCGTCCACAAAGTTAGCAACAATATGCACCAGTTAATAGGCTCAAAAAGCTCTTCATCTGGTTAGGTTCTGGTTAGCTCAATGTGGGCTGCCTCACTTAGCTTCCCCAGGGAGCCCATTGGTCACCTTGCCTTTAGACTATGGGCTCTCACCAATACTCAACAAGCCTAGCCCCCTCATGCTAGGTCATGAACTTTAGACCAGTCAACCCCCTCTCATCTTCTCCTTTTTTCCTGTAAACCAAGTCACAGGTGTCAGTGGACAAATTCAACCCATCTCTTTATTGCTGCATTTCTCCAATTTCCACTCAACAAGTAGATCCAGGTGGTCACCTAGCAAGCATTTCAATCTGCCCACAGGCTCCCTTTAATGTCCAATCCCAGAGCATTTTCTTCATGGTTCCAGATTTTTTCCAGCTTCTGACAAAGACCACTGGTTCCCAAGTACTCCAAAGCACAGTGTGGGGCATGTCTTTTCAAAGCTTTCTTTGCAGGCATGGCCTAAACCCATCTAAAGATCAAATTTTAATGGCTGAAAACAAGTGGGCTTACAAGCTTTATATTTTCTGTTCTTTTAAAAAAATCATTTTATTAGGGGCTCATCCAACTGTTATCACAATCCATCCATACATCAATTGTGTAAAGCACATTTACAAACTTTCTATTTTCATACTTACCATGTTCTTTCCAGAAAACAACTGAATAAACAGTGTGGCTTTATCTGACCTCTGGCTAAACAAGAAAAACTACATGAGGGAGAGGCCAAACAAACATCCACTCTCCACCTTATGATTTGTTTCTGTAGTATGTTGTGTTAGTCTGGGTAAACTAGAAAAACATATCCACAGAAACTCACATATATATGAGTTTTATATAAAGGGTAATTGTACATTAAGAAAGCATCCCAACCCAGTGCTGCCCAAGCCCATAAGTCTAACATTAGCCCATATGTCTGACTCCAATCTACAAAGTCCTCCTTAATCTCACAAAACACACACAATGACACCGAATGCAGGAAAGCCGAATCAGTGAGCGTGTAAGCATTTCAGCACTAGCGGGGGTCTCCATGTGGCTTCTCCAGCACCCAGGGCTGCATCAGGGTAGGTCCACGTGGCGTCTTCTCAGGGACATCTTGCAGGAAGTGAGTCTTTCCAGCTGAATCAGGGAACTGGCTAAGGCAGCTGCACCTTGGTCCGACTATCAGAGAGCAAGAGACCCCAAAACTAGGAAGGCGAGGCTCACCGAGCCATTTATCTCTCTGCCCTTCAATTAACCCCACATTTGTTTATTGGCCAGGTTGGCACAATAAACCTTAACTATCTCAGAGACATTCAGGGCACCTGCCCTTGGGTCCCTGATACTCAATAGGAGCCCTGATAGGTAGTGGTTACGAGTTGGGTGGCTAACTGGAAAGTTGGAAACTACCAACTGCTCAGGGAAAAGACAGGCTCTGTACTCTGTACTGTAAAGGGTGACAGTCTCAGAAACTCTCGGGGGCAGTTCGACCCTGTCCTACAGGGTCGCTGTGGGTCAGCTTCCACTCTGCGGTAGTGAGCTTGGTTCTTTTGAGTCCCCATGAAACCCTTACATTCATGCAGACTCAGCATCACTTGTCTGACCTCGCTGGATTTCTATGCCTGCTCCGACTCCTGGGTGAGAGGATACATTTCTGAAAAATGAGAGAGTTCCTTAACTTTTTTCCTGATTTATTTGAACAGTTTTTGACATGTAATTTATGTACCATGCAATTCAATATTTTTATATATTTGAATATTTTTAATATATTTTTTAAATGGTGTAATCATCACCACAATCAATTGTAAACCACTCATTTTGTACTCTCTGTTATTAGTTACCATTCCCTGCCCCCCTCCACCCAGGGAGACATAGTTTCTTAGCTTTCTCCCTTCACCAGACCTACACCGAGGCTCTGCACACAGCAGGTAATCGGGAAACGTTGTTGACTGAAGGACTGGCTTGTATTTACTTAACTTGTTTTCTTTGATTGATGCAAACCAGTTAGCAGTATCTTCTCATCACCCCAGAGCATCAGGAGGCAGGGAAGTGGCAGTGGGGAGCTAACCTGGGGTAAAATCCCTGCCATTGAGTTCATTCTGACTCATAGGAGCTCTATAGAACAGGGTAGAACTGCCCCCGTTGCGTTCCTGAGACTGTAATTCTGTATGGGAGTAGAAAGGCCCATCTTTCTTCCCCAGACTAGTTGGTGGTTTCAAACTGCCGACCTTGTGGTTAGCTGCCCAACACATAACCACCACACTACCAGGGCTCCAAACACGAGTGAAAGCCAAAACCACCAAACTCACTGCCATGGAGTTGGCGCCGACTCCTGGTGACCCCGGAGGACAGGGGGGACCTGTGGCGGTGTATCTGCAACTGTAACTCATTCTTGGAGTAGAAAGCCCTGTCTTTCTCCAATGGAATGACTGGTGGTTTTGAACTGCTTAACTTGTGGTTAGCTGCCCAACTCATAACCACCAGGCCACCACAGGTCCTAACATGGGGTAAGGGAGGAGTCAAGCCCATAGCCATCAGGTGGAGTCTGACTCAGCGAGTCCAGATGGGGATTTGGAGGCTGAAAACGTTTCCATGGGCAGAGAGCCTCATCTTCCAAGGGAGGAGCGAGAGTAACAACAACGGGTCCATTTATTCAGCCATTCAAATCTACCAATTCAAACCCACCAGGTGCTGGGCCCCAGGTCAGGCACTAGGACAATAAGGTTCTCGCATCCAGTTTCAGTGCTACTGCAAAGAATGGGGCATGTGATTCAGCATCTTTCCATGCCAGGATTGTGGCCACCACAAAACCCATTACCACTGAGTCAGGTTCAATGGGCATTATTATTTACTTTGGGAAGCCCTGGAGGCAGGTGCAGGGAGCATCCCTGATTCTACATGGATGAACTGCGTGAATTTGCAGCATGGCTGGGCTCTCAGAGTCTAAGTCTTTTGCCCGAGGGCCGTGGCTGCACTCAGCGCTGCTGAACAGGCAGTCGGTAGTTAATGAAAAATTTAAAAACACAGCTGACATTGTGCTAGGTGTGCAGTGCAGCGTGGATTTCTACCGTAAATAAAACCCAGGAGTCACGAGAAGCAGAGCAAGGGGCTCTCATGGAGATAGGCTGTTATGTGAGGTTTAGGTTTTGACGTCTACAAATGACTTTGCTCCTTTTGTGGCATCGTCTCCCTCCTTTAAATTCATGTTCCAGATAACCAGTTTCAGCTACTCGGGGCTTAGAAGCCACGTCTTGAAATAGAACCTAGCTGCTTTTTGTTTTGTTTTGTTTTGTTTTCCCACTCTAGTATGCTTTCTGTGCTGCGGGCCTTGGGGATGATGGAGTCTACACTGGCTCTGCTTTATAGATGGATTTCTCTCTTGCAGCTAAATGTGGTGAACAGCGTCGGCAACTCAGAGGACATCAAGCCTTTACCAGGGCTCCCAGGGATTGGAAACATGAACTACCCATCCACCAGCCCTGGGTCTCTGGTTAAACACATCTGTGCCATCTGTGGGGACAGATCGTCAGGTAGGTGCCAGAGCTGATGTCTCTCAAGTACCCCTTGGGATGGGTTCCCAGAAAAGGAGCTCACTCCGCTGCCCACCTGGCTACTCAAAACAACCCTGAGGGTGATCCAGGTCCCTAGGTAGCACAAGCTGCTTGCCTAAAGGTTGGCAGTCCAAAAACACCCAGCAGTACTGAGGAGGCCAGGCCTGGTGTTCTGCTTCCATAAGGATCACAGCTGGGAATACCTGATGGAGCAGTCCGGCTCTGAAACACATGAGTGTGGATTGACCCAGCAGCAATGGGTCTGTCTGGGCTTGGTGGCTGTGGCTTGCGGATGGCGCAGCTCTCAGGCCAGGCTTCAAAACTCCAGGCTCTGCATTCATCAGTAACTGCGGTTCGGATACCTTTAAAGTATGATTTTTGTCGTTGAGGACCGGATTTATAGGAAATGGTGTTACTGTGGCGTGTGCGAGTCTAAGCTAGAGAACCTGCCTGCAAGGCTCTCAAGATAGAGTTTCTCTAATGTTTTAAACTATTTGTATAATTAAAAAGTTATGTCTCTTATGGAAACCCTCGATTCAGTGCACTAACAGGCCACGCAAGTATCAGAGTCCATGTCCTGGAGACAAGGAGAACTAGACAGCGCCTGGCTCTAGCAACCAGCTGCTTTGAAAAAGATCACGTTAGAAGGTTCTAGACAGAGTGGGGACAAACACAGACCAGAAGTCAGAATCATTAAAAAAAACACACCCCCAAATGGCCAGGCTTAATGAAGGTAGATAGAGACGGGTGATACCCCCAAGATTATGGCCTTAGTTACCCATCAGGTCTGGAATGGAACGTACCCCATGTTAGATCAAGCAACCATTTACTACGACAATGCAGCATTTCCCCAAGGATAAAGTTCAGAAGGCGAGGAAAGGACAGGGGACACTGGGAAGGCAAGGAGGCAGTGAGCCCAGGGATGGTACAGCAAGGGAATTGCAGTAGATGAGTTGAAACAAGTTGTGCACAGACCCTTGAACGTAAAACTAGTGACCTGCTCTGTTCATCGTCACTTAATTCACAACAAAAAGTTAAAAAGAAATACTAATGGCAGGTTCAAATATGCAAATAAAAGTAATGTGTCCTCCTGTGTGGAAACTTGAGGCAAACTAGAAAGTACAAAAAGGATTTAAAAAAAACTATCCATACTTTCTTGGCAAAGATAAACCTTCTGATGTTTTTTTCATATCCTCTCCCTTTTGGACTAAAGCCATACGTTTTTACCTATTTCATCTTCCCTGACCCTCTTTGACATTGACCCCAAGTATTTCCCTCCAGACGTCTCTCCTGCGCACACCCCTTTCCACTGAGCAGTGTGGGAGACAGCCACCTCTCGACCAGACACACGAGGAAACGGGCAGTGTCTTGCGCATGGCCAGCTGAGTACGTCCTTGTCATCTCATCCCCAAAGCCGCGCTACAGCTTCCCTCCACGCAAAGGCCCATGGATCTTGTTGAGCTTTATGGCTGATGTATGCTTGCTGTCAAGTTACTTCCAAATCCTGTAGACTTGGCTTCTCTGGGTTGGCTGTGACCCTTGCAACAGAAGGTCAGCCACTCGGAGACACGGGCTTTCTGTGCTATGGTTGTCTTAGTTGAAAGCGTGGGGTATTCATTCCCATATTGAAAGTCATGGGCATTCCTGTGTCATACAGTTGACAACTTGGTCCCTTGTTTCTTGAAGAGTAAAATGCTGGTGCTCAGAGAATTAGGTCCTTTTCACTTAAGATAAAAGCCTGCACCTATGACTGCTGTGAGCTCAGTTCATTAGTGTAGGCCGTTAATTAGGCCGCCTGTCTTTCCATCGGATCCCTCCAAGTCAAAACTAAAACCACTGCCATCGAGTCAGTTCTGACTCACAGTGAACTACAGGACAGGGTAGAAATTCCCCGAAGGGTTTCTGAGACAATACCTTTTCTCCCATAGAGCGGTTGGTGATTTTGAACGGCTGACCTTGGGATTAACAGTCCAATGTGCAACCCATTATGCCACCAAGCCTCCTTTCAGATCCCTGGGTGGTGCAAACACTCAGCTAGTCACCAAATGGTTGGCTGTTTGAAATGGCGAGCTGCTTCTGTGAGGATGAGGCCCGAGGAGAGCCAACGAGCCGAGTCCCCACAGTCGCTCCTACGCCCACCCAGGGTCCGAATGGACTGGGTGGCTGTAGGGTCTCGTTATCAGGCATTATCAATCGCCATTACTTTATTTTAGAGTGGTTCCTTGGAAATGCACGCTCCTGGGTCACAGATATTTACACTGATATATGTGTTCTCACGAGCTTCAAGTTTACTTCAATATCAGCCCAAATAAACAGAATTCGAAAATCAGGTCTGGTCTGTAGCCAAACGGCCTCACAGATCATACTCAAGAATCAGATACAGATGTTTTGAATGATCCATTTCTTTGTATCTCTCAAGTTCCACAAGTCCAGTCCACTGAACACAGCCGCAGGGTCTGTAGTCTTGAGATTTCTACTTTGAAGGAATATTGTGTTCAATTCATGCAGCCTATGTGGGATCCAGCAAATTAGCCATCCCTAACTGGGATCATTGAAAACGGAACGTAAGAGCAGGTCATAAGAGCAATGGAACATAGAGCAGATGATTCTGGATAAAGCAAAGCAGGCATCTATAAGATAGTTCAGTCACTTCTTCATATTGAATCTCATCTTAAGCTATGAAGGCCACATGGCAACTTAATTCTCCAACACACAATAAAGAATTGTCCTGCAAGACCGTGCTCATAGCTTATCATAAAGGATAATTATTTTAAGTGGGTTTCATAATATCTTGGGCCTCAATTATGGAGAAATATCAGTTAGGCTGGGGTATTTTTCCTGCTTGGAAGGGCATGATGATTATAAATATTCTTATTATGTACACTAATAGATTGTCTTGAGTCAGAACATTTTGCTTAACCAAAACCCCGAATATAAGTTGTCTTGATACAAATAAACATGATCGAAATCTTCGTTGGACCTTTTCCAATCCGCCGCTCCAGCGGTATAGAGGAAAGGCAGGGAAATGACACTTGACGGCCCCCGGTGTTAGTTTCTGTGAGCAGCTTGAACTTCCTGCTCCTTATTCTTTCCTTTCTGACCCAGCACCCAGGTGAGGGTGTCCGTCTCCCTGGGGGACAACCACGATGTTCTTTAAATGAAAAACCCAAAGCTGCGCAGGGACCCCCATGACATGTTATTTCCTTGTCACCAGGAAAGCACTACGGGGTGTACAGCTGTGAAGGCTGCAAAGGCTTCTTCAAGAGGACGATCCGGAAAGACCTCCTCTACACGTGCCGGGATAATAAGGACTGCCTCATTGACAAGCGCCAACGCAACCGCTGCCAGTACTGCCGCTACCAGAAGTGCCTGGTTATGGGCATGAAGCGGGAAGGTGAGCCGTCCCCTTCCACTCGAGGGAGTCCAGTGTGCATGGAAACAGCACTGGGCCACACTTTGGTGTGTAGGGCAAAAAATCCCCGCTGAGTCGAAATACCTGGGGGAGAAAAGGCTGGAGTGGAAGCTGGGGTGATTTGGGGTGGCATGATTTCCCAAGTCTGGCCACTGAATGTCCCCCTCCCCCTAAGAAATGCATATTTCTGCAGCAAAGAGGAAGCTCCCAGGTGGTGCCAATGCTACGCACAGAGCTACTAACTAAAAGGCTGGTGGTTGAACCTAACCCGAAAGTGCTCTGGAGGAAAGAGTTGGCCGTCTAATTCCCGAAGGCCACAGTCAGGAAACCTCTGGGGAGCACCGGTTCCCATTCTGAAACGCTGGCTTGCAGTGAGTCAGAAACAACTCGATGGCAGCGGGTACAGCAAAGAGGGCAAGAGGCACCCTTTCTGGGAGCCCAGGCGATGGTCTCCTGGGTGGGTGTTCACCAAACTGGGTCCTCTCCCTTGCTCTTCCAGCAGCCAGGCAGGAAGTCTGAGAGCCAAGCGGGGAGGGTCTTTGGGAGCTGTCCTACCAGTGGGGCATCAGACTGGTATTCAGAGTGAAGCTGACCTCTCTTCTCTTGTCAGAGGTCTCCAGCTGGGAGAACCTGCCAGTTTGATTCACTTGGTCTACTGTAAATTCTTTGTGATTGGTATATCCATGGTCTTTTGGAGAAGATTACCATTACCCAGATCTGACAAAACTAGCCTTCTTACAGTAAGAGACCTTCATTGTACATTTAAATGATTACATCTTCTCAGTGATTGTGTGGGTTAGCTGGATTGTTCTAGAATCAGGAAAACATATTCTTGAAATTGGTCTCTGTTCTTTTGACATTTCAAACAGTGTTTCTTTCAAGTAGCACAAATAGATTTCAGCGGGCAGTTAATTAACTAGTGAATTCAAGCAGGTACATGGTGTAAATAGCGAATGTGAATCAATTTTTGAGAAAGGACGTTCTGCCTTTCTCTGCGAATAGGAACAAGAAGTTTGGTCAGTCCTGGGTGATGGAAGGAACCAGTGTGAAGGGCCATGCTCTTTGTACCACTGTTCTTCCTAGAATCCCAGTTCTCAGAATTGGAGATGACCCGTCAGACTATTTAATCAACTCTACTCACTCTCCTATAGGGGGAGAAGTGGTCTCTCTTGTCTCCCATGTGGCGGACCTGGGTGTGATTCCTGCTCAGTGCACTTTAAGGATAACCACCCGGCTGTTGGAGAAGGTTTTCGTGTAATTATGATGCTACACTGGTGTCAGTTTCAGTAGAGCTTCCAGACCAAGATGGACTAGCAGGCCAGGCCTTGGGATCTAGTGAAAGTCAGCTGCTGAGAGCCCTTTGGGGTGCAGTGGTCTAACTCACCACCCATGGGGGGGGGGCTGGCATAGGATTGGGCAGGATTTTGTTTCATCATTCACGGGGTCACCAGAGGCCACTAAGAACAACAAATCACACTAGATAAGAGAAAATATACGAAGAGAGGCAAAGTGAGTTCTCCAACGTCCTAAACATAGATAATGAGAAGAGACTCTCCCAGTTCCCCTGTACCCCCTAGAGCTCATTTGATGTCTCCTCTCCCACCAACATGGAGAAAGAGCTCTGAGTGTAAGGACGACCTGGTACCTACGACAGATCCCCAAGTGACACACCTAAATCAGAACTCCTGGTAATCTGCCCCCACAGCAGATTTGTCACAGCATCCTCCCCATCTCAGGACATGGCCATTCCATTTTTTAGCTGCTTAGACCAAAAGCCGTGTTAATTAGGTAAGGAAATTTTATTTCTTCCTCAAAATATATCCATAATCTGTCAATGTCTCACTACTTTTTACTGAGATAAGCTTACCTCCACAGTTTTATTGGCACTTAATTAATATATCATACAATTCAATAGTTCTATCATATTGAAAAGTGTTGTACAATCACCACCCCAATCAATTTTAGAACATTTCTTATTTCTTGTAACCATGGTGATTAGTTCCTCATTTCTGCCTCCTCTTCTGCCCACACCCCAAGGGACCATTGCTCCCCATAGTGCTGCCAGAGTCTACCTGTTCTGGATTTGATGTACAGAAAAACAGACACACACATAAAACAGAGCAAAAGCCTATCAAGAACAGAAAATCCTCAGTCAAAAGAAATAATAAAAACTAGAACAAATTTAAAATGATACAAGAGGAAGACCAAATGATGTTTTTAATTTTATAAAAAACAGTTTCATTGACTCTTTGCCCATTTACCGTACAATGCAATAGTTCAACCATATTGAGAAAAGTTGTACAATCTTTACCACAAACAATTTTAGAACATTTTCTTTTTTCCTCATACTCATTGCTATTCATGTAATTTCCCCCCATTTTTGCAAAAATACACACAGCAAAACATTCACCGATTCAACAACTTCTCCATGAATAATTCATTGCCATTGATTAGACTTTTCATGTTATACAACCAGTATTGTTATCCCTCTCCAAATTGTTCCACCACCATTAAAATGAGCTCAATGCCCCCCAAGCAAAACTCTTCTTCCTTCCCCCATGGTCACCATAGGTTAATTTGCGTTTATTTTTTGATAGTTCCTTGATATAATATTCACACATCATACACATCCACAACTAAACTCTTCTATAAAGAGTCGTACACACAAATCACAGTCAGCTCTAGTGCTCCCTCCCCGCTCCTGCATCCAGTAATCTTCCCAAATCTCCCCTCCAATAATCATAACATTAGTTATTGTCTCTGCATCCAACCCTTCTGTGCTTCCTAAACTGGGATATGTAACTGAAACAATAAAAAACAGGAAGAATTTGAAACAGAGAGAAGAAAACAACAACAATAATATAAAGATAAATAGTAAGAAAGAAAAAAACACCAACAATATTTAAAAAGCCAGAGAAGAAATTTCTTTCTTGGGACAATCAAGAAATATTTTAGCATAGAACAATTTCAGACTCAAATCTGAACAAAGTCAGAGAGAGAACACCTGACCCAGTATCATATTATACCACGGTTCAATTCACCATAATCAAGTTTAAAGTAATCTCTGTTTGATAGTAAATCTCACCTATGACTACAGAGGATCTGCAAGAGGCCCAATCTGACCAGACACTCTACAGATGGATTTTGGGTTCCCACTGTACTCCATAGCCTTCTACAAAATTAGATATTCACAATGTAAGCTCTAATACTTTATCCTTCATCATATTTGGATTTTATTATTGCCATCTTTGGATCACACAGGCTGGTGTGCTTCTTCCGTGTGGACTTAGTTGACACCTTACTTAGATGGTTGCTTGTTTAAATAGAAGCCTTTAAGACCCCAAAAAAGAAAAACATTGTCTATCATCCCCTTAGGGTATAGGGCGATTGCACAGATAACATCAATAATTTATCCAGTGACATAGAATTTAAGATACTGTCTATATGAGGAGTTTGTGTGAATATAGTCAAAATGTGAGCTGCAATCCATGAGTTGTTGCTTTGTACAGATTGATTTTTTAATTGATTGAGTTCTTTTTACATTGAGCACGGGAATTGGTGCTAGGGGAAAATTCCCTGCACCATCACTCACAAGGGTAGACCCTTGCCTTTCAGACCCAAACCTGTCATATTAATACCAGGGGAACATTGAGGCACCAAATATATGGTGGTAAATGTTAAATTGTAACCTAACTGCGTCTGCAATAATTCACTTTCCAATTCCCTCTACAAGGCTATTCACATCCCTGGTCCATGGTCAGAGAAGTTTCACCAGGGGCTTAATCCATGTAAATTTCTCCTTCACTTTTGTTTTTAACTGAAACAACTTTACAATTGGTCAACAGGGAGATCAAATCTAGGACATTGCACTTTAACCTAACTATATCTGCCCCAGGAGCCCTGGTGCAGCCGCGATTCTGCATTGGTCTGGGATCCGCATGGCTGTTCAAAACCACCAGCAGCTACTCACAAGAAAGATTGGGCTTTCAACTCCAGTAAACAGTTCAATCTTGAAAACCCACAAGGGGTCGCTATGATTCAGCATGGACTCGATGGCAGTGAGGTTTAGTTTTAGTACATCTGCCAAAATCAACTTTATAATGTTCCCTGTTTGTTAACAAGGCTATTCGCATCCCTCACTTAAAAGTTTAATCTGTCCAAATCAACAATGTATGTAATGTGGTTCACAGCCAGCCAATACTTGGATAATATCTTTTCCTCCACAGTGTTTTACATTTTAAAACTTTTGCTAAATAAATGACACTATCAGTTGAATTACCTTATGTCCCAGGGAGATGGTTAATAGTGTTCTGTAATATAAAATGACAATGATATCTCTAAGGTGAATCAGAAACATATATGAACCATAGATATATGTGGGGTACCCCCACCAAAAAAATCAGATTTTTTTCTTCAAAACTACATATTTGATTATTATTATTATTATTATTTACTAAACAACCTTCAAAGTACTCTCCATTACACTTAACATATTTACCAAATCTATGATTCCATTCTTGGAAACGTTTTCCAAACTCATCTGTTTGGATGGCTGACAGCACCTCCCTCCTTTTTCTTCACCTCGTCTATGTCATCAAATCACCGTCCTTTCATGACGCTCTTCATTCACGGAAACAAAAAGACGGCTCATGGAGAGACGTTAAAGTGAGCCAGTGCATGGGGCGAGCGAGGCTTGCTTTTTTCACCCCAGAACTGGTGCATTGAGAGGGCGTGTGGGCAGGGACGTTGGTGTGGGGGCAAAGCCAGTTCCTGTCTGCCACAGATCAGGTCTTTTTTAGAACCTCTCAGTCGAAAGCTCGATTAACAGTCTGACCTGGGGGAATGAACTCCAAATGCACTACGAGTTGACATTTTCATCAGGGAAGTTGATGGATGTCCAGAAAGAGGTTTGTCATTGATTGACACTTCACCTTTTTTTAAATGAGAAAACCACTCGAACATGTGAGTTTTTCCCATAGCGC